ATTTGTTTTTTTGTTTGTGAAGCGCCTCGTGATTTTTATCTTCAGAGGCGCTACAGAAAAGATTGTTTTTATGGTGTTTGTTTGTTTATTGTGCAGAATCTTTTCTGGTTTAGCTCCATTCCCTGAAACACAAGTAATGTTTTGTTTAGTCCAACTTCTCTAAGAGAGTGGTCAAGCAGCATCACTTTTTTACAATTCATAAAAAGAAGCTGGTGACAAGCGAGGATGTAAAGATAAAGATAAAACAAGACCATACACCGGAGCAGAGAGCCCTTCCGTCAAGGGTTTTCTCAGTCCACTACTTGTTTTGAAATCCTTTCTGTGCTCTTGTGAGAGATGATGTCATTTCCCCAGAGTTACTGACCTCAGCACAGCTTTGGAAACGTGAACTTGTGAAACATCTGGGAATGGCAGTAGGTCAGTGGGAGGGTGTTCCGATGGCTTAAAAGACGCTGTGTTTGAATCTCGGGCCAGAAAAGTTTGTAAAGCCAATTTATCTGATTTGTGGGTCCTCAAAAAGGTCTGTAACACTTTTCTATTCATCTGAATAATCATTTAATTAAACGATGTAAAAATAAAAACAGTAGACATTAATGAAAAGGGTAATTTCATGAAATTGTCATCATTTTAGTGGTTTTTATGAAATTATCTGATGTTTGTTGTTTTCACTAAATGTCATGCTTGATGACCAAAGAGAGGATCTTTCTCTTTATTCAATAAATGATTTTAAATATTTTTATAACTTTCTCTCCTAAGCCACCAATGTCTAAATGATGAATAATAATTATTATATTTTTAAATTCTCTTCATTTTAAACATTTTGTAATTCTGCCAAATAATATCTTTGTTAACAAAATAGTTGATATTTTGATTGGGCTTATTTACTTAACATGTTTGGTTTGATGAATATTTTGTTACAGGGATATTTTTTATTCTTCCAACAAGATGGTTTTTATTTCTAGCTCAGGTATTTTTGTGACATAAAGAGTTTTTTTTAAAGGTGTCACCAGTTACTGACCTGACTGTGTTTCCACCGTACATCCCATCAATAGACATCAGTTCAGCTTCTGGCTAAATGCTTACGTCTGCTCTAGAGCCTGTGGTTTTCCCTCCAGTAGGTTTAAAGACACAGGAGGGAGCCGTTCTTCTCTGACAGGGAGTATTTTAGGCATCATGGGACAATTTAGCTGCTAACCATGCATTATCACCCCCTCAACCTGTCTGCTCTTTCTATTGCAATCATGAATGAGGTGTTTCCATGTTTAAACAGTTAGCTTTAACAGACAAAATATGGCGATACGAGTGATCAGGGTCAAAAGCAGAGGTCAACATTTATTGTTTTCCCAGGTTTCTGAAGCAGTTTGGGAAATGTGGTCTTTAGTGTTAAAGGGGCATTATGGAAGTTTGACAGCCAAAACATGTATAGAAATAATAAATGTCTTCTTCATACATTCTCCTGCAATGCCCTGGTCCTGTAGAATGAGCCCTGGCATTTTTACTGTGATTGCCTGTTTTTCTGTAAAATCACAGAAAAAGAGAGATGCTCGGGTCGAGCAGGCTGCTTCATGCGCGTTCACGCTCAGGCATCGCCCGTAGCATTTGCTATCCGTAGCTTTAGCAGCAGAGAGAGAGGCAGTGCCACTTTGTCGCTGTTCCTAACGCCTAGTGACAAAGCTAGCTACATTTCTGAGGACCCTTAGCTACTTTCTGTAGAACTTTCTTCTAGATATTTCCTGCAAATTAGCAAATCACACGCTCCGCCCCGCCCCCGGCTTTCCGCCACCGCTCGCTTCCAAACTCAAATTATACTGTACCCGCTCTACAATGGCTCCGCCCCGGTGCGGAGACCTGAGGTGCGCAAACAGGCATGCGCAGGATTTTCGAGATCTTGTGATACAGTCCGAGCAATAAATGCGGAAGTTAGATCCAAACACCTGTTGTGTGGGAGAAGCATCGAAATGAACTGTTTAATCTGCCATCATTTGTGTTGAGGGATCAGCAGTGTTTGGATCAACAAAGTGTGACTACTTTGATAGTAGAAACTGTATTTATGGCTTATTTTTGTGCATTTAAAGTTCAACCGCCATTGATAGTTGTTAAAAGTTGTTAAACTTGTGCATATGAAACAAAAAACGCCTTTTGTTTATCGATTTATTGTGAAATAACGGAAGTTGTGCTTGCTCCCTTTCCTGTTGGGCAGTTGTGATTTCTGTCCATTGACTGCAGAGGTGCTCCGGCGTCCGGCAAAAATAGAATCAATCCTATTTTTGCCGGACGGCGGAACGGCGGGCGGCGCACTGCCACACGGCCACAGTAGTGAAACAGCTCTGGTTGACTACAATGGGACCGTTTTTGCTGCGGAGTTCGTGCCGGAGCGGAGTGGAGGTAGTGGAATTTTGGGGTAACAATCAACAGGGGTCTCCTGATGTTGTCCTGATCCAACATGAACAAAATCAGACTTTAGACATAGTTTCTATTCCTGTTTGTATGGTTGAGTCTGTCATGGAGTAGTTTAACCTCCTCGGGTAAAGCTGTGGTGTTGTATAGCTGGAGCTTACCAGGAGGATTAATGGCTGTTGTTTCTAAAGTTAAAAAACAACGTCTGGATAAAGATAAAGGAGTGATAGTTCTTTGTTCAGTGATTTTATTATTTGCCTTGATCATATTCAGATGGAGGGAACTTCTAACCATACAGTCTAAAAGTGTGCACATGGAGAAATAAACTGATGTAAATGTTAAATGGCCTGTATTTGACATAGTGCATTCTACTATCCTAGAACCCCCCAGGTGCTTTACAACCAGGGTTTCCCTTACATAGGCATAGCTGTGGTGGCCTGCCACGGCTGAAATCCCACCGCCACGCCTGCAAGATCCCAAGTTTTTTTGCTTTTTTTTTGGCGCTG